GCCTTGTGGAGAAGATGTGTCACTGGGGGGCAGCCTTCAATGGTTCAAAAAGCCACCAGGCACAGTCTCATAATCTCTTTCTCTCTCTCTTTCTCTCTTCTCTTCCTCCCTCCCTCCCTCCCTCCCTCCCTCCCTCCCTCCCTCCCTCCCTCCCTCCCTCCCTCCCTCCCTCCTTCCCTCCCTCCCTCCTGCTGTAGAGAAGATGTAAGCTCTCGGCTACTACTCCACTGCCCCACTTACCTGCCTGCTGCCATGCTCCCCACCATGATGGGCTTGCACTCACCCTCTGAAACTGCAAGCAAGGTTCCAATGAAATGCTTATAAGTCCATTTAGTCTGGAAGTGCACACATGCCTTGTGCCCAGGGGATTCTTTCTCTTCCCTAATTACTCTGCCAGGACTTGCCTTCGGTGAGATTGCTCAGTAAGGTGAATCCCTAAAAGCATCACTAACTCCTGATGCGGTGGCCACAGGAGTTGTGAGGCTACCACAGCGAAAGCCAGATGCTGAACTGAACTGCAAGGTCCCACTAAGGAAGTACCTGTCATGAGTCCAGCCTCCTCGTCTGTATCACCTCAATTCTATAAAGCTTTTATTTTAAATTAGATTTTATTTAGTGTGTGTTGTACATATGTGAAGAGCAGAGAAAGTCCTGAAAGAATGAAGTCCTCCAAAATCAGTGTTTCTTTTTTCTTTCTTTCTTTCTTTCTTTCTTTCTTTCTTTCTTTCTTTCTTTCTTTCTTCCTTCCTTCCTTCCTTCCTTCCTTCCTTCCTTCCTTCCTTCCTTCCTTCCTTCTTTCTTTCTTTCTTTCTTTCTTTTTTTGGTTTTTTGAGACAGGGTTTAACTGCGCTGGCTGTCCTGGAACTAGCTCTTGTAGACCAGGCTGGCCTTGAACCCAGAGAGATCTGCCTGCCTCTGCCTCCCGAGTGCTGGAATTAAAGGGTGTGCATCACCACTGCCTGGCAAAATCAGGGTTTCTTGTTTGTTTGTTTATTTTCTCCTTCGGATTAATCCCAGGGTTTAGCACATACTAGGCAAGCACTCTTGTCAACTCTGTGTAATGTCATCATGGGGACAGACAGCCATGCCAAGGACTCCAAGGCCTCAGCCCCATGACAGTGGCAAAGCCTTTCCTGTTTGGTTTACTGCGATGGCGAAGCTTCCTTTGTACTCCGAGTATGAGTGTTTATGAATGATAGATCAGTGTGTGCAAAGACTAGCAACTCCAGCTTCCTTCTTAGGGATGTTTAAAGCCTGAAACTGTTTGCAGAGACTTCCTACCAAGACTAGGCAACCCATCCCCTGTGTTGTGTGTAATAAAAGCTTTAAAGTCCGGTTGAGGTGGTAGCAGAATCCCGTGCGGCTCTATCCTCTGTGTACTTGTTTTTATGTCTCAGTCCTTTCCTCAGGCCCTTGATACCTTCGTCAGGACTCCAGGACCCAAACCGCACAGGCCTCAGTCCATATGCTTGGGGTGTACAAGCTACAGGGCACACACAGCTATCAGGGGACAACTTGCAAGGGGAAGTTCTTTCCTTTCACTATGTAGGTCCCAGGGATCAAATTCACATCCATGAGGCTTGGTGGTAGGCCTTTACCCATAGAGCCATCTTGCTGGCCCTTCTAGCCTCAAGCCGAGGGTAGCCCTACCCCTTCCCTTGCCATGTTGGCTTTGTAAGTGGTTTGTAGTTCTGGTGTATCTTGTAGGAAGAGCAAATTGGTGGCATCAGGCGACATAAGCTCGCACTGGGTTCTGGAAAAGACAGAGATGTGGAGCTGCAAGGGCCGCAGCCTTCAAAGACAAAGAACAAATTTATATTAGCACTTGGGGGCAAAGGCAGGTTGTTGGATCTCTGTGAATTTGAGGCCAGCTTCATCTACCCAGTATGTTTCAAGCCAAGCCAGCCACAGCTACATAGTGAGATCATAACTCAAAAGAAGAAAAAGAAAAAAAAAAAAGAAAGATAAAGATAAGCCAGGTAATAAAAATTCCTTTACTTTTCTTCTTTTCTTTCTTTCTTTCTTTCTTTCTTTCTTTCTTTCTTTCTTTTTTCTTTTTTTTTTTTGCTGTTTGGAGACAAGATCTCTCTATGCAATCTGGCCTTGAACCTGGGACCCTCCTACCTCAGCCTCCCAAATGATGGGTCTCCAAGCCTGTGCCACCATGTCTGGCTTTAATGTTCATTTCAGGTGGGACTTGATTGTTCCTACACAGTTGCATGGTGGGACCACATTCTTTGAGAAGCAGAAGTGACTTGGGTCACATGTGGTCTGGGTATTTGGCTCTTGGTTAGTCACTGTAGTCCCCCTTGCTGCGTGGCCCTATTGAGCCAGAGAACAAAGCAGGGACAATGTGGCCCAATCCCCAGTGCTGTACACATCTATGGCTCTTGCCATCTCTGTGAGTGCCTGGACTTGCGTCCTTCAGAGCAAGTCTCGGAACATGAACCACCCACCCAGATACCCTTAGGCCTAAGGTATATCCATCTGGGCATGCTTCTGAAGATATTGTGGGTCATTTGTTTGTTGGGTGTTCTCAGGGTTTGTGAGCACCGACTGCAATGTATGCGAGCCCCTCATGAAACTGAGGGAAGACGTGAGTAAACTTTCGAGCTTATGGCTTTAGTAGAACATAACAATCACTGTTTTAGGTCTGGAACTCGAGCCTAGCGGTAAAGTCCTTGCCTAGCCTATGTAAAGCCCTGGGATTGATCGGAAGCAGAAAACGAACAAGAAACCCTGATTTTGGAGGCCTTGCAGCTGAGCCGAGCGTTTAGTCTCTACCAGCTCTGCTATGGCTAATCCCTTAGCTGTGTGCGTATGATGATAACGGTCTTTCCAGCACTGAAGGGCTGCTTCTGTTGACTCCCTGCTTGTGCCAGATGCCCAATGAATGGCCCCTTGACATCCGAGGACATCTGCCCTCCTTTCCTGCTTCTTGAGTACATTCTGCTTCACAAAACTTGTCTCCATAGTTGACATGTTGTGAACGGGTCGAACGGGTTGGTTCAGTGCCATTTGTGTGGCGAGTAAAACCAAAGCATGAACTGGACCTGCTCCTGAATTGGGGCTTTGATCTGTGCAGCACAAGCAAGGGAGGAAGCAGAAGGTGGTTTTAACAGAAAAAGTTTATTCCAAGAAGACACAAACAGCTCTAGCTCTAGAAAGAACACAGTTCAATTGCTGGCAGCAAGCCAGTAAGGAATCTTGAAAGAAACAAAACAAAACAACCAAAGAAAAGAAACACAAGAAACCACCTTTGTAATATCACCCCACAGAGGACTCCCTTCTAGTTTGCGATGGAATTCTCCAAAGACAAGGTTTGCCATCTCTCCTAGTTACTGCTTCTCCTGGAGTTGGAATTCAAGACGTAGTCCCATCCCTGGGGGTGGGCATTAGCCCTACCTTTCAGTGTAGCCCATCACTCTGCACATTCCCACCTGGAATTGTCTTCAGGGCACAGCGGACCCGGGAGCACGGACTGCAGCACTAACTCTACCCAACTCTATGGGGTCTGCTGCACAATAGGTTGTTCCTTGTCCTTGCTCTGCTTCTGGGTCCAAGGCACAGCCCTCCTTTCCTTCCCTTCCTAACTCTGCAAACCCTAAAGAAAAGGCAGAAATGAACCACTTCATGGGAACTCTGAAAAAGGAAACCCTGAAAATTACTCGAGTCTGATGTTTGAAAATTTAGGTTTCAGGAAATGAGTGGATCCCTGGGCTCAAATGACAGAAGTTAAGCTAAAGGGCCAGAGACGTGCATCTGTTGAGCTAGAAAAGATGACACTTCTGTCCCAGTAACTGAGTCCACATGCAATAATCTCCTGGCTCTGTGGATGCTGCCTGCCCAGGAATGACATAGAGGAGTTCTTTAAAGGGCTCCATGCGAGAGGAGCCAGCCCAAGCCAATGCGAAGAAGCTCTCAGAGGACAGGAAGAGAGATGCCTCAGGATCCCCCGCTATTTCCTTCCTTGACCAGTTTCGTTAGATCTGGTCCTGGACCAGAGGACCAGTGAGAGCGCTGTATATATGGTGCATGTGCTCAGGTGTGATTCACAGCCAGGTGCAGAAAACACGCACACAGGTGCACGCTTTCGCAGTACACCGCAATTCACACACGGTAAGTGTGAGAACTGTGAATCTGAACTCCAGTTTCTGAAAGCGTGAGAGAGTGGGATGAGAGCAGGGTAGCCGGAGAAGTGAAGGAAACAGGATGTGATGTGTCGGATGCCCATCGGTTGGAGGGATGCAATGAAGCACTTTAGCCGATGGGGATTCAGGAGGCTGGAGACACTGTGGCACAGATACTTCCTGTACCCCATAGGTTCCTTGCTGGGGTTCCATGCTGTCTAGTGCTAGGTCTCAATTGTATTAGGACAGAGATATGTGTGTATTATGGGTTTTAAAACCAGGCTGTGGAACCAGGAAGTTGGTGGTTTTTCCAGGAAATTGTAAACTGAACTGGACTCTTAGGGTGTATGCTATCAGACTTTTGAATGACAGCACCCTAAACTGGTGACAGCAGTGTGGGATATGACCAGATGGCCCAAGACAGGGAGAGCAAGGACAGGACAAAAGACCTAAGGAAACATTCCTACCACCTTACCCCAACCTTGGGCAAATAGAGGCACAATGAATGGGCTAGAAATAAGGTGTTCTCTATCAAAATAATTAGTGACAGTGGGACATAGAGAAAGACTGTCACATGCAGCCCCCCCGCCACCTCTTCGCGTCCTGATGTGAGCAGACCGGTTTCATGGTACAGCGTATGTGAGGCAGTGAGCGACAGCCTCTGGTACAAGACTCAACCTAAAAAACCTTCTTAGAAGCCTGGCAGTGGTGGCTTCTAGCACTCTGGAGGCAGAGGCAGGCAGATCTCTGTGAGTTCAAGGCCAGCCTGGTCTACAAGAGCTAGTTCCAGGACAAGCCTCAAAGCTACAGAGGAAGCCCTGTCTCGAAAAACAAAAACAAAAACAAAACAAAACAAAACAAAAACCCGTCTTCTAGTATTATATTTATCTATTTGTGTGTGTGTGTGTGTGTGTGTGTGTGTGTGTGTGTGTATCATGCTTACAGAGGTCAGAGGATAATTTGCAGGGGTTCTCTCCTTTCACTACGTGGGTTCCACTCAAACTTAGATCCCATTGATCATCAGGCTTGGTGGCAGACACCTTTACGTGCTGATTTTTCATGCCAGCCCTCGTCCACTTTTCACAATGGGGACGGTCAAAAAATGGTAGTGTGGATCGGGGGTCAGCCTTGCATGGTCTGTGAGCTGAGAATGGTTTTCAGATGTTCCAAAGGTGTAAAACGAGTGAATGAACAATCAGCCACAAGAAAGAATCTGCCACAAAAACCATAGATGACCCACAAAGACTAAAACAATTTCTCTCAGGCCCTTTGAAGGGGAAGTTCATTGATTTCCTGAAACGATGGGAAAATCCCAGCAGTCTCTGGTGAGAGAAGCCTTTGAGTCTAGGAAGGGAAACCAGAAGAGATCCAAGAGAAATGGGCACATGGAAGTAACTGGAGATATTGCTCAGGATGACTAGCCCGGCCCTCAAGGTGTAGTGCCCAAAAGTGCACAGGACAGTGAGGTATGTGTGATTTAGGAAAGAGGCCTGAGATGGCTAAAGTAAGAGCACAGGAAGGAATACTGGGCAAAGAATGTTCTGGAAAAGAAATCATATGTAGAGATAAGTACTGATTAGGGAACTCTTGTTCTTATCTGATCAGATAGAGATGGAATTTGAGCCCAGGGATTGGCAAAATGTCAGGTCAGGTGAAGTTTCTAGAATACAATTGAATAGCTCATAAGCATATAACAGTCTAAAGATTTCTCAAAAAGATTAGGAAGGTAAGGTTCTAGTAAATTCTAGGAAAGCTAACACTGGTTTGCCCTACTTTAAATAAAAGCAAGTACAAAAAAAAATCACACTAATAAGTAATTAAAGACCTAAAGGAGCAAACGACAAGAGGGGTCTGTTTAGTTTTGTTTCTCCAAAAAAGCCCCTAGAAGATTCCCTTACACAGGGAAGCTTTCCTACTAAAAAAGGAAATTTGCTCTATATAAATTCATCCTCCCACAGCTTTTAGGGGAAACATCCACTGTACAAAGTAGGGCACAGATAGCAAACATGGAGGGAAATGATTTTCTAAACTAAAAACCAGATTTTCTTTGGATTCATTAACTGAAGAACAAGCGTTCCTTTTAAAGCATATAGATTTTTTTTCTCTGAAATACCTGGGAAATTAATGAGCCAGACAAGTAGAAGCCAGTCATGGGTCCTTCATAAATATAATGATTTAAATGATAAAACATTCATCCCAGAGGCAGGCAACCTAGAATTGAGGCTGGGCCCTGCCTCAGACTCATTGTGTGACCTGCGGCAAGCCGTTTGACCCATCTGGGCCTTAATTTCCTCTATGAAATGAGGGAGATTGGTCCCTTTCAGCTCTTACACTCTGTGATTATAGGTAAATATAGAAATAAGAGAGATACAACAATCTAGAAATAAGAAATTCTCTTCCCAAAGTAAGCCTTGGAGTCAGTAGAAAAAAGTAGCAATGAAAGATAAGAAAAAGAATAAAATTTTAACTGCTAGCCAGAGTAAATATATCTCATTTAAAAATTAATGAAAATGTAATTTACAGTTGATCAGAAAACATCAGAACATACATGTTGGTATTTCTTCACCAGCACACACACGGAGGAGGAATGGCTTTGACGTGACCACAATGCTGTATTGGCATGCAGAACATTTTATAAAACTGGACATAGAAAATCTCAAGACCACATACGGAATAAATTTCTATAAAGCTTAGCATTACAAAGAGGCTGAGAGGGGTTAACTGGTTGTTCTGGTTTAGGTGTTTGTTTCCCTGTAGGGGGGATCACTACTATCAAATGCCACACTTTAGCCTTCGGGCAGAGCCTCAGAAGCAAATCCATTTCTGCAAGAGCCCTCCTAGAGAACAATCACGGCGGTGAGGACGTTCATTTAAGGACTGGTCCTACCAAATGCAACCATCACCACCACCACCACAGGTTTTGTTGTTGTTGTTACTATTTTAAAATCCCAAACCAGGCCAGATGGGCCTGATTCAATCTGGCACTTTCTTAATGCCAGACAAATGTGTAGCGGAGCAAGAAGATGCTAGACATGCTTCTTTGCCAGAGATTGGACTGCTAACTGTAACTAACGGTCAGAAAGGTAACCTGTTGCAGAGAGGCGTGGCTCTGGCGATTCAGAGGACTTAAAAGGTGTGACACCTCTCTCTCTGTCTCTCCCCCTCCTTCTCTCATATGTTGCTCTTGGTGATTCCAAGACCATCCTTTGAGAACCAGTGGCCTAGATTTGGGCCTTTACCAAACAAAGGTATATATTTATTTCACACAGTCTTCATTAGGCAAATTTCTTTTTTGCTAAACTTATTAAAGTGCCTCCAACATGTGTTCAAAAACCACTCGCAACCATAGTCCTTTACAAACTGATTTCAAAGTGTTTTAAAATAGTTGACTTGCTTGTTTCAAGTCACGTGAAAGTCATCACACTGTCTGCTGACTTATGACAAAGGCACTGTTTTGTACCTCTTTCCTACTCGCTTGTCCTCTTAAATCCTTCCTATCTTGGTCACTTAGAGCTGAATACATGCAAAGGCATTAGGGACTGGGGCTCTGCTTTAGAAAAGGTCTCATTCTCACACCAAGCTGGAGTCATAGCACACCACAGAGACGAACGGCAGGAGGGGTAGTGGAGGCCTGTGCTTAGTAACTAGGCCTCCACGCAATTTAATAATCACCACTGATACTGGACGACTGACATCGGTAAGAAGTGGACTCGGTAGAGTCACCTTGCACAAACAGGACACACTTCACAAACTTGTTAAATCTTTGTGTCTTTTACCTAAGTGGTAAGTAGTATTAATACCGTTTACACAAACATGTTAATGTACAATAGGAGTGCTTGATCTAGGCCTTCTCAGAGGCTTGTAAGTAGCTTTTTCTCAGAATCCCTTGGTAGGAAAATAGCACAGGGTTATCTAGATAATTGACCAGCAGCTACTAACTCCAATGATTCCAGGAGAAGACCAGAGGTTCTATACTCTGGAGTCAGCTGTCAGGGAGTCTGGTCTTTCCACGGTGAAAAAGAACTTGTACAACTAGGTGACGCCTAACATTCTGCAAGGACTTCATTCCTTTGGCTTAAGGCTGTTCCCCTGTTAAAATGCAAGCAACCCTCGAAAAAGGTAGCATGAAGCCTCCCAGTCTCAGAGTCAATGAATTCATCCCTTTCCTGAGAGCATGTTTTTCTTAGGAGGAGAACGAAGTAGGAGGCACTGAGGAGAATCGGTGCTGGGCCACAAGGACTACAAGGGAGAAGGGAGCAGAAAGAGCAAACAGAAGGCCACACGGGCAGACCTCAACTTCCTGTTGAAGTTCTCTGGCCCTCGTGCTCCTCCTGAACGGGGCGCTAACTTGCCAGCTGAAATGTTTGTGATAATACTGAAGATTCTTTAACGCATACAAAGGCTGCTGGCAACCAATGGAAAAACAGCAAGAAAACATTTGGCGCAAAACCTGCCCCCAAATCAGAACTACACTCAGAGGAAGAAAGAGCAACTCATACTACTTTACAGAGCGCAAATCACAGGGCCGTGGCAAGGGTAAGGCACTGGCGGGGGCCTTGAGAGTGGGCGTCTCCCCAATCGCCTCACCCTAATCCTGGCCCTGGCAAATCATAGCAAAGGAAAAGCTCACCATTGTGCCACAGACTTGGCAAACACAGAGGGCGGAAGTAGTGAGCAACAGAGCACTGAGTGGTACCGAGTCTTTTTCCTGACTGGTTCGGAGGTGAGGAGGGGGTCGGGTGCCTGGGGAGATCTGCTCAGAGTGACAGGTACACAGAGATGACAACTGGATCTCTGTTGTCTTGATGACGTAGATGCCAGGCAGAATGCTTGTTGGGGGAACCCTGGAGATTTGCCCGTCTTTGTACATTCAAGGTCATTTTTTTCCAGATCAACCTTGTGGTCGTGAGGCTACTGTGAATGAACTGGCTGCCTGAGGCCTTGACTCCTTTGTGGCTGAGCTGCTGGTCTCCTCGGTGCAGTTCCTGGGTGTTAGGACTGAAAGACAAGCTGGAGCCAGGAGGGAGAGAGAGGCCCAGGCAGGCCAATAGTACAGGCAATGGGGAGGATCCACAAGCAAAGCCAGCCTTTGTATTAAGACCAACATGCTCTCTGGCACTCACATCTGAACCACAAATACATAGCCACCAAATGCAAAGCACGTAGGTACACATTAACTGCCTCTGGGGGGTCTCCCCCCACCCTTGACTGGACCAAAGCTCTTCTAACAGGGCCACCTGCCACTGAGGGCTGGAGCTGGAGGAAAACAAGGGGATAGGAAGAGCCTGAAGCAGAGGCTGACCACCTGAACCCCCTTTCATTTCCCCCCGACTCACTGTGTGTGCCATCCTTAGAGGTCCCTCTCTTTCTTTCCGTGTGCCGTGTGTCACAGCAGCCTCAGCAACCTCCCTGAGACTTTCCTGAAAGGGGTCCCCCTCCCAATCCAGCCTCCTGGGCAGCACACATTGTCCTCAGGGGAGAGAGATTATGATAATAGGGACAGGAGAGCGGTTAAGTATTCAGAAAGATGCTTGGTGCTGTGCTAATCAATGACTGTTTTTAGTTACTATTATTATTTAACAATCAGGTTGTTTGCGTAGGACTAGGTCTACTCCCTGCCAAGCCTGGAGGGACAGAACGACTACTCCCAGTCCAAAGTGTTTCCTCTGACTGTAAAGTCTCTGCCCCAAATCTCTTGTGCTAGTTGGGCTTCTGGGGGTCATAGTGACGAGGAAATGTTCTAAACATTCCAGGCATACAGAGTCGTATAGAGGAGAGCAGGGGTTCAGGTCACTGAAACAACCTCAAGCAGTCTAAGCATTCAGTTTAGAATCTTTTGGGGGGAACCTCCAGAGGTAGCAAGATGAGGGGAGAGGCCAAACCCATGAGAAGGAACAAACAAGACACTTCAAATAAATCATCAGCAAAAGTAGCAAGCCCTATACAGTTTCATATGCTCAAACTTTAGAATTCAGTGATTGATTCATAACGGTTCTGTGGAGCAGACCCAGGGAACTTTTTCTCCTGATAGGCAGAAGCAAGGGCACTCCACTCCTTCATTTTCCTACAGAGGAGAACGCCTCTGTCTTTTGGAATTTTGAGTTAAGTCAGGTGTGGTAGTTATGTATAAACCAAGGCCAAGACTGAAGTCAGGGTCTCAATATGGAGCCTTGGCTTCCTGGAACTACCTATGTAGATCAGGCTGGCTTCAAACTCACAGAAGTCTGCCTGTCTCCATCTCCCAGGTGCGGTGGTTCAAAGTGTATATCCCGCATTCCCGTCTGACTCATGAAACTTGGCTTAGAAGATCTTCATGTTAAATGGTTTAAGCGCTTTCAGAGTTCCCCTAACTGTTGATTATTTAAGTGGCTTCTTTCTAGACCCGAGAGGGAAGTGCTAGCTGGAAGAGAGCTGGCGAGCTTGAGCTCTTTCCATTTGTCTAGAATTAGACCAATCGGAACTAGAGCCACCCAAGCAAGGACCTCAGCCTAGGATTTCTACGCCAGAGACCCGAGTCCTCTCAGTACTCGGGGTAGTTTTGCAGCCACTTTGCCTTGCTGGAGTGTGGGCAGTAGAGCTAACAGTTTGCTTCTCATTGGTGAGGAGTGTGACCTATCAAAATGGAGATATGCTTGTCCCTGGACTCCTTACTGCTTCCTCCGGGAGACTGAGCAAGGAATCTTTTAGGGCAGGGAGTGCGGGCGATGAGTCAAAGCCCATTTTTGTTTGTTTGTTTTTGCAAAGCACACTACAAGTTCAGTTCCTTTGGGCCCTTTGGGGGCAGAAGACAAAGAACTTCCCAACACTGGCCAGCAGGTTCTCTGTTCAGTGCTTTGCTCAGCTTGTCCTCAGCTCTCGGAGAGCAGGTGCTCTTGCAATACTTACAAAGTCGAGTTGACAAGAACAGCCTGTGCCTGTTGCCTTTGGAAGGGAAGGGGTAATTGTGATTGTTTTGGAACTCTTTCAGTATCCTCTTTATCCTAGCTGCTCCCCCCGCCCCCCTGCCGCGGCAAGCTGAAAGTTGGCCAAACAGCAGTACCTAAATGGCAAAACGTAGCCTTCTTGAATTATGGGCTGTCTTTTTGATTTCACGTAGATCTTTTTCAGTCTACAGGTTCTTGATCTTTGAAACAGAGTCAGATTTCCTTGACACAAAACCCAAAGAACCACAAAAAGCACACTCTGAATCGAACGGTGTGGGGCAAGGTACATTTCCGTTCTACTTCTGGAGCCTCGGATGATGCCAGTCCTTCGCCTAATTACTTCCTGTAATGAATGTTACATGCGAGTGAAATGAGAGTTCTTGGAGTCTACAACATGAGCTTGGCACAGATCCTGGCTACCCACATTGACAGACACTCGAAAGACCTCAAGGCGTGCATGCGAGTTACCTTGGCTAGATGCAAGCGAACAAATGTCCCGTTCGTTTGCAGAGCTTGGCTCAGCCAAAGCCACCCAGTCCCATCTTTTCTAGCTAATGGGGGAGGGGGGAAATCCTAGAAGTTTATTGAAACTCATCACCCTGATCTCCGCATAGACAATCAAACTGAAAAAGGCATGGAGTTTTAGACAGTCACACTCATGTTTGCACCACAGAAGCCATCTAATCAACCCCATGCTGAAATTAGTGCACGCCTCCTGCAGAGTTCTCTCTGGGGTTGAGGAGGCCTCGGTGTCTGTCTGGGTCTTCACATAGGGCCATCAAAGCCACCCCAGGAGAGGAGATAATCAGCAGTGGGATTGGTGCCTCTGTCCCCAGCCCTGGTTTGGAAGGTCCCCGATCTATTCTCCCACCGTGCCTTTCAGCAACAGGAGCCAATGGACAAAACAGCCAGGACATTGAAAAAGGTGGCATACGGGCTCTCAAATCTGAGGATCTCTTCTTAATGGACAACGCTGGGAGAATCTAAGAAGAACACCGATGTTCAGCCATGGTAAGCATGGAAACGCAGATGGCCTGAAGCCTATCAGAGTGCCTGGGGAACGCAGGTGTGTTGTGTTGGCCTCTCTGCTGTCCAGAGTGTGAGTTAATGTCAAAGACAGAATGTTTTGTCATTCCTGTGGTTGGTCCCTTTCTGAAGCCCTCTATCTTTCCCCTGCTCTCCTCAGACCTAGTGAATAAGAAGCAGGGCTTAGGTACTGGGGCTTTCAGTGGGTTCATAGTCTTTTGAGAACTGCGCAATGATTCTTCGAGCCAGAGGGTTCGTGGTCTTGAGCAGCTCAGCCGCTGAGGGGCGGGTCCTAGGAGTTGCCTTACTTCCCTTCTTCTGGAGCAGGGCCTTGAAATCATCATTTCTGCCAGCGTCTAGGCAGGCACTGCCACTTGCCCCTGTGGCAGCAGCAGACTCAGTGGTGGGAGAATCAGCTGTGTTCTTCACTGGTGAGTGGGAGCTGGGTCTGCTGCCTGGGAAGCCCTCCCCAGGCTCTTTCCAGCCCAGGAGCTTTCTTTTGGACCTAAACGAAGGAAAGACTGGTCTGAGCGAAGTCAGGGAATTCAGGGAGCAGACAGCTAGCAAAGCTCTGAAGAACTGACAACCAGGGATGTGCTCAAGATCATGCATATGACAGCCCCGTGCTCCCAAGCCCCTTGGGGGCCCCTCTGTTCCCCACATGCTTTTCAATGGCCACAACTAGAGTCACTTGCCCTATGCTACAGGTTCAGTCCTTCTCAGATCTGAGATCAAGAACAAACGTAAAGGGTCAAGACCAGGAGCTCAGTGACTGAATCAAGACAGCTAGGGATGTGGAACTGATTTGAGCTGCTGCTCCAGCTCCAGTAACTGGGCTCGTGGATCCAGGTACCTCATTACAAGCCCCTGCCTCATGTCCCAATGCCCACCTCTGTTCCCCCTCTGCCTGAGTCCCTGCTCTCATATGTTGTCCGGTGCTCTGTATCACCTAGTGACAGAATTCTGTGGTACAAGAAGTTCCATGAAGGGTTAAATGTCTCTCTCTGCAGATAGAGCTGTGAGGCAGCAGATGGAGACACAATAGGCCAAGCAGTTGCTAGGAGACGAGGGGCCTCTCTCAGCACCTGGTCCTCCCCTCCTCCCCCGCTTCAACCAAAGATATCAGTGAATTTGAGATGTGAGGCCCCAGACTGTGCTCACATACGTAGGTAGGTACTGAACTGAATCTCCAGTTGCAATTCCAGCGGCTGCTCAGAGGCAGCAGTTTTTCTTTAAGCAGAAAATGGGAAAGCAATTGCAATTATAATGAAGGAAAAGGATCCTGACCTGTGTATCACAGTAAATAAATCTTCAGTCGTGCGCGAAGCCACAAACACGTCATCGTCCTCCTCCGAGATCCATTCGGCTGTCTTATCACTGATTAAACTTTTCTCTTCGGCCACAGTCTTCCCTAGGTATAAGAACCAAAAGGCATGACTTTGGCCATGAGAGTTAGGACAGGGCACATGCTCTCTTGCCATTCCCCTCAATGTTCAAAGCAACTCTAGCTAGACAGCAGGACAGAGCCTTTTGATATCTCCATTTTGCTAGGAGGAACATGAAGTTCAGAAGGTTAATGATTTACCCTCAGGCCTTTCAATGCTCCCATGGTGAAGACTGGCCCAAATCCCTGTTCTCATGCTTGCTTTTCGTTAATACAGGTCATCTGAACATGCTCGTTTTCTTATTTATTAAAAAAAAAACAGTGCTGGGGATGGAACACACTAGATAAGCTCTTTTGGCACTGAGTTATATCCCCAGCCCCCTTGTTATAAATACATAATTAAAAACTCAAGATACTGAGAGAAGGGTAAAGCAATTATCCTCGCCCAGTGGGGGATGAGACTTGCTTGAATCGGAGGGAGCCTGTGGAGTTGGAGGAAGCATATTTGGAAATAACCTGTGGCTTTGACATGCTCACTTGCTTTCGTCACAGTGATTAACTTATGCTGAAAGTCTAAACTAGTTTAAAGAAGGTCATGAGATTTTAATGTTTAACATTAAGGGTTCAAAAATGATGCGAGACAGAGTTGAGCCTTGAGGACATTAATAAAAAATAAGAAAGTCATAAAAAAGACAACAAATCTATGACTCCACTCGGCATCCAGAACAGTCAGAGCCATAAACCTGTGGTTAGCAGGTAGGGAGGAAAGGGGGAGGGAAGGAGGAGGAAAGAGGGGATGAAGTGGAGGAAAGGGGGAGTTGTTTCAAGGGTATAGACTTTCATTTTCCCAAGATAAAAGACATTCTAGAGATGGGTCTCTCAACATGAATGTTCTTAAACACTAACGAACTGCATGGCTCAAGATGGCTAAAATTAAGCCCAGGATGGCGGCACATATCTACAATTTTAACATTCGGGGGTGAAGTGCTGAGACAGGAGAATTGTGACTTTCAGGCCAACCTAGGTAACACAGTGAAATTCTGTCTCAAAAAAGGAGTTGGTAGCCGGGCGGTGGTGGTGCACGCCTTTAATACCAGCACTTGAGAGGCAGAGGCAGGCGGATCTCTGTGAGTTCGAGACCAGCCTCGTCTACAAGAGCTAGTTCCAAGACAGGCTCCAAAAACCATAGAGAAACCCTGTCTCGAAAAAACAAAAACAAAAAAAAAAAAAAAAAAAAAAAGGAGTTGGTGCCAGGAAGGTAGTTCGGTTGGTAAAGCACCTTCCATACAAGCATGGAGTTCGGATCTCTGGTACTCACACTCTTGTGTATGCCTATAACCCTAATAATCCAGATCTTGGGGGACGGAGACAGATGGATGCCCAGGGCTTGCTGGCCAGCCAGTCTAGCCAATAAAAAGCTCTGATTCCTGTAGAGACTCTGTCTCAAAAGACAGGGTAAAGGTTGAGAGCCAAAGACACTCAACACAACCTGTGCCCCACCCACCGCCGGCCACATAGGCAAGTGGTTAAAATATAAGTGTCATGTGTATCTTACAATTAAAACAAAAAGCCACAGAAACAACACCAACCAAAGTGAAGAATCATTAACTAGCCTATTCTTATGGGTCCAGGAAGAGTTAGAATCAAACCTTCCAAGGAAGACTGTGTCCTTTCTTGTGGAAAACACTGGAAAAGTGTGCAGGCCATCATTTCAGAGTCCCACGAGCCTTCCAGAACTCTTGGACGAGGACTTCCGGAATACTGAGTCCCGAGTGTTAGTCTAAATTAGTCTGACTAATGAAAACTATTGTCGGCTGAGTGGGAGTCCCAGGGCAAGGGCTGCATGCCTGACTGGCCAGATGCGGTCGGGAAGTCCCAGTGTGCTAAGGCTTTGTTTGATTTGTTATCGTGGTGCCTGTGCCAAGGGTAGATTGTCCAGACTTAGCCTTGGGGATCTGTCCTGGGTCAGTCCTGATCTCCTGGACAGTAAGGCCAACTGGCAGTTCCTTTACAGAGTTAACTCACGCCCTCTAGATGTGCTCCCTACAGCTTTGGTCATGCTGGGGCAATTGCTCTGTCTTTCCAGAGTTAACTCCAACTTCACCCTCATCCCTCCTGCAACTGAAGGGCAAAGCCAAGACAGTTTACTAACCTGGAGAGACGGCCTCCTTTTCACCGTCAACAGGAAGAGCAGAAGTCATCCTTTTACCAGGTGCCTTCGGGTCCTCCTCAGCGGAGGGACACTTGGTATCTTCCTCTAAGGTGATGATGGGGCTGAAAGGCAGCCTTGGCTCGGCCATACAGGCATCCATTTGAGCTACAGGGGGGGTGAGAGGCAGGTAGAGCACACTGGGCTTTTTTGGTACAGGAGGTGGAATCTTGCTCATCTTTTTCTCAGCTTCTTCCTGGCTCTGGAGGCTGATTCTTTCTGGTAGGGCTCTCACTTTGGGGACCCCATCTTCTACACTGGCCTGGGGAGGTTGCTGTGTTCCTGAGAAGAAAGCACCAGAGGAACTGGCAAGAGGTGTGAAGACAAGGGTGGAGGGTGCTGTAGACTCCCCAGGGCTCCTGCCACTGGGGAAGCTAGGTGACTTTGGTTTCCGCAACACTGTGTAGCTGTCTTGGGGGAGCTGCTTCACGTGTGGAACGGAGCTCCTGGGTGTCATAGCCATAGTAGGAGACGTTAGCTGATACTCCCCAGGGAGCGAGGGTGGCCTGTGACCCAAGCTTGGAGGCCTTCGGGCCAGTGGTGGTTTCTCAGCTATGGGAGGTTTCACTTTTCTCTCTGGCAAGGTGAAGACTTCTTCTGCTCCAGGTTCCTCGGTGTAATCTGGGCTCTCAATGTCATCTTCTGGCTCAGACTTGCTGACTGACCTCAGGCGAACAGAACGGAGGTCAGACTGAGTAACCATGGGCATGATTGGCTGGTTTGGACTAGTTTTCTGTGCCAGTTTGGCTCCAAAATTGGTATCAGAGTGATGGCGGCTCACCTTGGTCTTGCTGCGGATGGAGATACTCATCCCCGACAGATCCAGGGTGGTTGAAGAGCTCAATGGTAGGTCAAATGATAACCGTGACTTGCAGATTTTTTCCATTGGTGACATCGGGGGCAGTGATGACTTCCTTTCTGGTACCACCGGACGTACTCGGACACTGGTGCTTGGAGGTGGTAAGTGGCCCAGGGTCAAGGACATGGAGACAGTGGGTGTGGGTGTCTCTGACTGGCTCGAGTAGCCACTGGAAGGGGACATCAGTCCAGTGGGCCTTCCAGGAGAGGCTACTTCCCTGGCTTCCACCTCAATGGAGAGCTGGGAGGGTGTTGTTGCTCTGGAGGTGGAAGGGGAGGCCAGAGACTCCGAGCTTCCCCGAACTTGAGTGCATTCAATGACTGTGGTGCCAGTGGCTGTGCTGGAGCTGGACAAGGATTGGTAGGTGTCACCAGACTTCCAGTCAGTAAGATACCAGTGGTGAGAGAACTGTGAACCTTCTGGATCTTTGAGAGTTGGCCCAGATGGATGACCTTGAGGATCTGGGTGAGATGAATGGTGCCCTTGGTGTTCCAAGGAGAGGCAAAGGCTCCTGGGCCTCTGGTCCTTGGGCAGTGCCAATTCACCTTCTGGTGGGAGGACTGGCTCATCTTTGACTAGTGAGACGCTTCTCATGGGTGGAGAGGGCTTCTTTTTGGCCTTCTTGAGTGAAATACTTTTGGATCTTTGCCTCCTGTGCTGCGCCTCTTGCTCAGTGCTGAGGGCTGCAATGTTGTCAGTACTGTTACTTCCTTCAGAGTTTGCACTGGCATAAGGCAGGATGCAGGCCTCACCAGCCTTCTGCTCTTCACCATAGTCCACTGAGGTGACACCTGAGTCCGTGGGCACAGAAAGTGACCGCTCCCGGAATCTGTTAGTTCCACCTGGGCCTGTTTCCAGTCTTGAGGTACCACGGGCCAGGAGGCCAATCTTGGGAGGTCTTTCTGGTATTTGCCTTCGTTGAGTGGGGTGCTCAGAGTAGCTGGGTAGCCCAGTGCATCCTGCTGGGTTATCACGGGTGACAAAGAGGGTAGCCGCCTCTTTAGGAACCAGAGGTGGGAGTGTGTTCAGAGAGACCCAAGAATTCCCAGAGGAAGGATTTTTTCCATTTTCACTGACTTGATTGCCCTGGCTGCTGGCACTTGGAGTCATGTACGTGAAAGCATCTCCCTTCCAGGAGGTGGAGAACGTTGACTCTGTTGGTCCATTGCAAGAACTGGGGACACTGTACAGCATTGCCATGCTCTCCGTGCCAGGAGGGTCTGGGCCACCACGTGCCTGGTGAGGGTCTGCAGGCTCACTCGATGAGTGCCTCAGTCCCGGCGAGGTGAGACTTGGAAACCGAGCTTCCTGCCCAATAGCAACTCTTCCCTGAACAACTTGTGGAGCCGAGTGGCCAGGCCTGATGTCTGAGGCCAGGCTGCCTACCGGGCTGGTGCTGTGCCCTGGAGATAGAAAACACATGTTACTGCTATAGCAAGGGATCCCCCGTCAGCTGTTTATAACCAGAACACCAGCTTTGTGCCAAGCAGCATTGCCAACAGCTTTGTCAGAATTCCTTGGTTCTTCCTTTTCACAGATGAGGATACTGGGGGAAGTTGGGATCTTGCCCATCGCCACACAGTGAGTCACGGGGTACCCTTGGATTGGCCAGATGGCTGCCAAAGACTTCCCAGCTTTGACGACTTTTTTCCAGAGTACACGTATCACGTGTGGCTACCTCGGGTTTCCCCCATACTTTCTTTCTCCCTGGGTTCACAGAACCAGCAGATCTCAGGGGTCGTCAGGCCTGAGGTGAGAGCAGAAATTTCTAAACTGACTAAAGCCCACAGCAGCATGTGGCTCACAGCCCCAGCTATGAATCTGGACTTTGCCTGAATGCTATATTTCTGGCATCTGCCACCTTTTGCCTTTGAACATAAAAGACTTAGAGTAATTCACAGATGTGATACCATTCAGATGTTCCAATCTCCAGAAGTGTTCTCACATCCACAGCTATTCTAACATTACTGTTACTGCTACCTTACTGACATGGTAATTCATAATAGCCAGAATTTGTTGAATATTGACTATATCCCAGGCACATGGCAGGCAGTCTACACAGATATCTTTAGTTACTACAGTGACTGTATTGGGTCAATACAAGATTACAATTCGGGGGATGATTCCCCACTTCTATTTGCATAAATTTGGCATATATGGTAACATTACTTTTTTTTTTGAGATAAGACCTCATTATGTAGTCTTTGGCTGGGCTAGAATTCATGGAGACCAAGCTGGCCTTAAACTGGAGATAATCTTCCTGCTTCTGCTACTGAGTGCTGGGTTTAAAGGTGTGTACTTCATATCTAATTTACAGTACATTTGTAATGGAAAACAAGGATGTGGTGGATTTATTAGCCCGAGATCCCTGCCCTCCAGACTCAATCGCTGGTTTTGCCAAGGGCCCCTGGTTGACATTAATCACACATTGGCTTTCTCAGGATAGTCAAAGCCCCTCTACCCAGAATTATTTCAGGTCCCCACTGCCACAATGGCACTTGCATGACAGGAGTAGTGGGAGATGGGGAAAGGGTTTGAGGGAATCAACTGTATTGGGGTCACCTGGGTCTCGCTGAGAAAAGTTAGAGAATCCAATAATGGTCCGCCTCCGCCTCAGGGTGGACTTGGGGTTCACGGCTGTCTCTGTGTTAAACAACGAGTGTCGAAAACTTGCATGTCTATCAAACTGCTGCCCTGTAGCCAAAATAAAGACACTTGGGTGCATCCTGGTTTCTGTTTAAAGCACAGTGAAAACTGGCCTGAGGTAGAGAGAAAGGATGACGGCAGTAGCGATGAGCATGAACAGCAGCATCCAGGAAGGTGGTACTTCTTCCCGCATCCCTCCCTCTCCCCCCAGGTTGGTGCTGGGCACACACTCTTGGTTTTACAGGCCACACCCAGCTCATTTGCACTTCTTAGGTGCACTGGGCAGTATTTTTCAGCCCCACACTGAAATAAACTGGGTAGCTTTTGAAACTCCACAATCTGAACTCCAGAACATTCAACTTTCTGGGAGGAGGGCCTAGGTAGAAGCATTGCCTAGGAGTCCTTGGGTGGTTTTTCAGATGCATAGCCAGGGGTGAGCATCACTGCTTGTGGAGAGATGGGCTGGGGCTAGCATTATTTGATTATGATTATAGGGTTTCTCCTGTGGTGCTGGGGACAGAATCTGGAGCCTTTTATATTCAAGGCAAGTACTCGACCACTGAGATGCACCCTGTACTCCTGGGTGTGGTTTTTTGTGAGTGAAGGACTCATTTGGTTATCCAGGCTGGACTTGCCCTCATCACCCTGCTTCTGCCTCCAGAGTGCTGCGATTACAGATTTGTGCCATAATGCCCAGACTGACTTCACAGGGACCAGGTGAAAATGGCATCTCTAAGAAGCGCTCCTACTGATCCCATCGTTTAGGAAGCAGTTGGATAGTCTGACCTACAGCTACCTGGCCACATTACCAAAACTGGCAGTTGGTGTTGACTGGACCCTGTCTAATTCTCTTAAGGTGCTGGGTCAGCTTTTAGTTCTGGGAATCTGTAGGGGGCAAAGTCAGGATGAGGAGATCCATGGGGCTAAACAGGCAGTTCCCCCGCCCTGTCTCTAGCTTAGTGGCTGGTTAAGCAGGACCCGTCCCCCACCAGTCACAGCACTCACTGCAGCCCCATCCCAGCAAATGGTTCCACAGGACAGAGTCAAGAGCAGCCCGAAAGTGAGACAGCCATTTAGACAGAGCACATCAGTGTTGCTTTGCGAATCTCCCAGCACAGTTTTTCCTCCCTTGGCAAATGAGCTCTACTTCCTGCCTCTCTTCCTCAAGATGACTCTAGGGGCGGTGGATCAAGCCAGATCCGGGGAGCATGGTCACGCGAGACAGAGCTACCCTCACTGCTCTCACCGACCTTTTCCACCACAGCAGGGCCCATGCTAGTCAAGGCCTCCTCCAGTCCCTTCAGATTACTGGCGTCTTGCTTCCATCAGGGCCCTGCAGGGGTTCCTGATAGGACTGGCCCTGTTCCTTTCCTTCCACTGGAGTGGGAAGTAGAAATGCCACACGACCCCAACCCGGAGACTGTGATTGTGCTGTCAACTTGACAGAACCTAGAATCACCCAGGAGATGTGCTTCTGGGCATTAACTGATATGAGGAGACCCAGCTTTAATTGTGGATGGCACCATTCCTCGGGCAGGGGAATCCTGGACCCTAGAGACGAAGAAAGGGAACTGAGCAGCAGCAAGTAGCCACTGTATTCTGCTTCTTGTCTGCGGAGACAATGAGACTCGCTGCTTCCAAGTTCCTGCTGCCTTTGACAAGCTGTACCTTGAACTGTGAACCGGTCTATACTCTTACTCCCTGCCCCCTTAAGTCGCTTCTGTCAGGGTTCCTAATTGCAGCAATGGAGAATGAAAAAAAGAGAGATGCAAGTATCCCCCCCACCACTACTCTCAAGGTCATCCTGGGCCTCCTGTGGCTCTTTCTTTTTTCCCCCCCGTGTGCCCTTTCTGTGCCCTTCCCTTGTCACACTACCGTTAAAGCACATGTGCTCGGATTCTCATCTCCTTCTGGCTGTTATTTGTATATTCCAAACCCAGAACTTTGGGTTTCTAACATTATCTTTACCTGAAACAAACAAAATTCTCAAACTTTGTTTTCATTTAAACTCAAAAGAAAACCCACGTTCAGAAAACTTTTGGCACATTCTGCAAAGAAACTTTTTGTTCGCTATTCCATGGTATCAGTTACAGTGACTGCAGATAGGGAATGAGGGAAGAGGAGCCATTGCCCCCTCTTCAGCTGGCTCTCGAAGTCCCCTCCACTCCCGGGGGAGTCATGACCTTGTCAGCAGCAGATAGAGTGGCCCTCCCTCCCCAGTACCCAGAGCATTCGGAGAGGATGGGCCTTTGGCATGAGGGAAACAAACAGGCGGTGCTAAGCAACTCTACCAGAGATGTTGATGGGCACAAGGTCGGACTGCGTGGAGCAGGGTTGAAGCCAGCGCTTCTCCTTTAGGATGGGTAGAGGGAAGGGGCCATTCCAGACAGTTTGCTTGTCGGCTGTAGGCAGGCTCAGGCAGGCCTCGGGGGCCCTCACACCCTGGGTCGTGGTCTCATCCTCGCTCAGCTGCCGTTTTGCAGGCTGTTGGGAGAGAGGGTGTGATGGAAAGGTGCGCTTCTGACTGGAGGAGCTGATGCCCATAGGATGACTGCTTAGGCAGAGCGGTTGGAGGCGTCCTCTTGAAGACGGGAAAGCACTGTACAGGGTGCCTGGCTAGGCACCTGCTGTGCGGGGCCCTTCCCAGGGGGACCTCGCAGTAGCCCTGCTTGTGAGCAGTGATGAACAGTAGCTTCCAGGGGATCACATAAGAAGTTCAAGATGCCCTGCCGGTGGGTGCACGCTGGCTCTCCCAGGTTGGGGAAGAGACAACTCACCATCAATACAAACTCCAGACGCTTGGTAGACTGGGGCCTTTGGCTGGCAGTAGGCTCAGGGGCCTCATCAGAAGAGCGGAAGGTCTGCCCCAGAAGTCTGGCCTCCGAATACTGTTCCTCATATTCTTCTGAAAAATAGCATAGTGGAGACACACTCTAGGGAGCCAGGTGCCAGGCTGGGGGAGAACAATGAGCCAGGCTCCTGCACTAAGCTGCCCAGCCTGACTCATATTGCTTCTTTGAGCTATTTCCTGGCCACTGGGTTCAGAAATGGAAAAGTGCTTGGTTCCCAGGACCATGAGGGCAGAAGAGGAAAGGAAGTCAGTAAATCCAAGCCGTGCTGCTTTGGGGCCCATGCCCTCTATAGTGGTCCCCACCTTAAGCACTCAGCCCGGAGAGCCAAGACTCGGGATGTAGACACCCTTTGCTAACGGTTCCATTTTCTGAGGCGCTGCAGCTCTTCGGGTGTTCTGCAGTGCTACCAAGGAACAATGTGCATGAAGCAAGAAGAGACCCACACTGAGAAGTCCAGTCTGGAACTCTGTCTTGGATCGCAAGAACTTTACGGTTTCTTGGTTTTCTGTGAGACAAAATCTTGCATGTAGCCCAGGCAGGCCTCAGAACTCAAGATCCTCCTGCCTCAGTCTCTTGAGTGCTGGAATTACATGCTTGTGCCACCATACCTGGATGCAAGAACTCATACTTGATGGCTTTTAGGTCTGGTTCCACTGTGGATGGGATCAGGTCTAGGCAGGCGAAAAGTAAGGGAACCGAAGGTGGTGGCAGAGAAGACAGCGAAGTTCACGAGCCAACGAGAGGAGGTAAGTATGTGTAAGATGGAGTAGGGTTGGCCAAAGCGATGGCTTAGATGAAATGGCGAGGAAAGCAAGAGCTCAACAGACTCTTGACTCTGGTCCTGGGGCTTGTTTTGCTCTCACGGCTCATTCTTTGCACCAGTGTTCCTAGTCTATGCCCCTCTTCAGGAGCCCTCTCAGGTGCCTTTTCAGTCTCAGGGCAGACACCTGAAGACCACTCCTTCCTTTGGACTGTGGCTACTGGGCATGTGAGAAAAACCCATCTCTGTCAGGAGGTGGAATGCGCTCTCCCTGAGCTCCTGCTCACTAGTCCTACTGGATTCTGGATTCTGCCTGTGGTCAGAACAGTGCAGTCACCCCCCTCCACCCTGCACTCTACCTCTTCCTTGCTGGACACAGGGCTCATGGTTAGCACTCAGCATCTCGCTTCTCTAAGGTCACCACTGCCCTTTGCAGAGATTAGGAGTTTTAGCTGCACCCCACTTGGGAGGCCCATCAGGGATTTTCTAGTCTGCACCCGACTTAGGAAAATTTTTTTTGCTGGTATGGAGAAATAAGAACTGAGAAGACCTTTTGTCCATTTAGTATTCATTAGACACCTCTGGGGGGGGGGGGTCCAGCTCTGTGTCCAGTGTGCCTGAAAAACTCAAGAGTAGTAAGAGAAACTCAAAAGTAGCGAGAGATGGCCTTTTTTAGTGGTGCTGGACATACAGTCTCGGGCCTTGCACATGCTACCACAGAGCTACACCTCCAGCTTGGGGACGTGATTTCTACGGAGAACCTCATTGCGATTGGGAGGTTATTACAGGTACAGAGTGTGTGGAGTCCGGATTAGGAGACCCTATAGATGACCCTTTGTTTTCTAGTGCCAGAATTCCAAGGCATGGGAGATATGACGACAGGAGTGCTGGAGGGAATATGTGTCTCCTTTGAGGGAATCTTCTATTCCCCTCTCTGTGACTTGCCTGGCCTCAGCCTGTATGCTTTCCACTTAGGGACTACTGAATCAAAAAGGGAGGGAGAGAGCAACAGCCCCAGAAACAGAGTCTTAGCATCATCAGTCTGGAAGGTGAAAAGAGAGATGCTTTGGAACTGTTTTCTTTCTTTCTCGCTGTTCCCGGTTTCTTCTTTGCCCCCCTCCTGCTGCGCAGCCGCCTCTGGGCAGCCCCCCTCCCTCGCAGTACCTTGCAACAGGCTCTGGAGATTGAGCTGCGCCTCACGAAGCAGTTCCTCTACACTCGGGGGCCTGCCCGAGGAGAGGAACACGTTCACTGGCTGTCGCCATGACGACCTCGAGTGGGCAGTCGCTGTCGCATTTTCCCGACCCGAGTTAGCTGCAGCTAGGGAAGGAGAGAGTGAGTGAGAGCGCAGCCGCGGGAGCCAGTGGGCTCGCTCAGTTCCCGAAGGCCCGCCCCTGCTGGGGGCGCTCTTTGGCGGCGCTTAAAAGGCGAGGGCT